AGTTACCAGGCCATGTAGAGGGGCTTGTATTCAAAACGCATGCAGATTCAGAGAGTTTGCTGGGACTTCCAGGTGAAACTTCTGCTTGCTCTGGAAAAAGCAAGTTTTTCCCTTACCCAGACTCACTCACAGAGAAGAACCATTTAGAGAAAACACTGGAAAGTGAATATCCCCAGTAGCTTCCTCTTTTAGCAGAGAAGACAAGTAAGAAGCTAGCCTTTCTTCTCCACCTCCATCACCCCCACTCACTGGGCTGACTTCCTTTTAAAGCTGGTGGTTATGACTGGACTCACCTTCAGCCTTGGCCATGAACAGACCCCTCCTTCCTTGCAAACGACTGAGCAAAGCATAACACGTTGCCTCCTGTTAGCTGAGCCACATTAACGGACCATACTCCTGGTTCCTTGCCTGTGGCAACTGCAAAACAAACCACATTTGTCTAGGCTGCCGGGATGAAGGCACACAGTTGCCACAGGTAAGGAATGCAGTTATGGTCAGCTAACGCAGTTCAGTGAATAGCTACCTTAACCGCTTGTAATTGCTGGTCCACACCTTCACTGACTTGTATATGGCTACACTAGAAATAGAGGAATTCCATAGTGTTTATGAGTGTTATACCCACACACTGCCATTTAATCACAGCTAACATGTTCATTTTATCATTCATTTAAAAAAGGAGAACAACACATTGTTATATTTAGAATTATAAAGTAATTTTTCCCTTTTAAAAAGCAATCTCTTTTTTTCACAGACACCATCAAAGGCAGCAATGATGGATTTCTATTTGTTGTGTTTGATATGCCAACTAGCAAGCACCCTGGCCCACAGGGTGGGAAGAATACAATTTATCACCAAAGGTTCATATAAATATTGAGTTATTTCTGCCTGACCATTTTTTCATGCTTCGGCATGAGGCCCTGAGGACAGCGGGAGAGGAAAAAGTTTTTGAAAGATAACGTTCTTGCCTAACTTTGGATATGGAAGAAGTAATTAGTAAAAGTAGTCAGCAATACGGGCAAGGCTGTCACTGGGGAAACAAATCAGGAGAATGGTCAGTATTTAGTCAGAAGGACACAAGAGAGATACTTGGGAAGAGGTAAAGACAGCGTGACTATGCTTTTGAGGAACTAACCATAATAATTCAGAGTACAATCTGTTGGTCGGAGCACATTTGTCCAACTTAGTTCAAACTATTGAAGGCTTAGTTGAGTTTATTTGCAAGCATGGCTGGCTCTGTACACAGTTTGTTCTCACACACTACACGATTAGTACTTTGTTAGTAACTATGGCAGCTGAATACATACCATTGCTGCCAGAAGCAGCCTCACATGACTGTCTTCTGACATGTATTTGGCATGCGCTTTCGTAAAGCAGATCAATCTCCTGACTCTGCTGCTGGACCTGGAGGGGTTGGCTTCTTACAGATTCATGCTACTGGGCTACGCAACGTGCCTGTGGGCTCTCTAGTGTCCGTTGAGACACGTGGCAGGGGAGATGCCCGAAACTCTGAAGATGTACCGGAACCATCTAACACGGATGACTGTGGATGCATGCACTTGACACATCGTTGTTCCTTGAGAGGAATTTCTGTGTGGAACAGTTCAAACCGTGTGTTAGCACAGGGTCTGATGAAAATGCCACAACTCTTTAGAATACAGTGGTACTCCTAATGTGGACAGTCCTTCATGGGAATTGTTAATGTGTTAGCAGCTTTGGCCTAAGATTCCTGTGATGCTCCTGTGATTCACCTGCTCCTGCATGAAATGTGGCCAATAAAAGCTGGAAGTTCTTAGTTACATCACATGTCTTAAAGGCACAACACTGAAGCAACATGTTGCATGGTGTTCCCCTTCTTGGTTTGTACACTTACCAAACCAGGAGGATAATGTTTCTGCAGAAGTTCTCTGTGTAAATATGCCTACTTGCAACATTTGCATTTAACAACACTTTTTTTTGCACAAGTTCAACAGAATTTCTGTTAGTGTGTCTTCTTCAATATTGCTTTGCTCCTTTGCCCAAGAATTTTTCAGGAGCGGAGTCCTGAGAAACAGAGCTTGAGAAAGAAAAGGAGCTTGTGGTTAGATCTCTACCCAAACTTTGGATTAAATTTCTGTTTTTACCACACACTATATGCATGACCTGAGGCAAGCAATACTGCCTCTTTATGCTGCAATTTCTCATCTGGAAAGTGGGGAGAACAATACTTTCTCTACATTCACAGGGTTCTTGTGAAGTAAGTCCCTTAACAGTAATGAGAAGCTTAAAGCAGAATGGAAGCAACCATCGCAGCTGTTCTTTGCAGGCATCAGATAAGGGTGTTCATCATCTAAACACATGCAGCTGAAACACCATGGGCAGGGTGCTGGGCTGGAAGTGGTTTCCAGTGCCCCTGTCTGTGCAAGGGGAGATCAGTGGCTGGGCATGCCTCACACGGTGTCCTTCTGAAGGCAAATTAGACATAACCACAACTGGTACCTCCGTGGGCACAAATAAAGACCTCCTAGAAAAATGTCCAAAATCATAAAAACAAGAGTCTGGAAAAATAAAAAAAAACAACCACGTTGTCTTACTAACGACAAGAAATCTATATTGTTAATAAGTGTAAATGTCAGGGATTCATACAGACTAAGAGATCAAAAGGTTTTGAATTTATGTTTTTTAAATGCTTGATACCCTTTTCAGACTGTTTTATAGCTGTTTGCGGATTTAGGGATAGACCAGGAAATTTTCCACTCTACAATTGGTCCCTCCAGTCTCCTTCCCTGTGATACTGTCCAAATTCAGCTTACTGGCAACTCGTTAGCACTGCTGCATTTTCCATTTTAACCCACGCTGCTGAACCACGGGTGATGTGCGAAACCAGGACAAGCAGCGCACAGGTGAGATGGCGGAGGATGGCAGCCTCTCCCTGCGTGGAGAACTGCAGCTCGGCAGCACCAAGGCGTCACTGGGTAGAGCTGCCGGCCGTACTTTGCCACCCAGCCAGGAACGCCTGAACTTGCACGTTTGTCATGTTTCACATTTGAGTCGTGCTTGCCACCTTTAGCTTTTTTCCCCCCTTTTTTCTTTTTAAAAGACAACATACACCCAGTGGAATGGAAAGAGCTCCCTTCAAGAGCAGCAGTGGTGCCACAGCTATTTTGAATCAGTAAATCACTTACGGGAGTGCCGAGCCATCACCTCTCAGCAAGGTCAGGTTCAGGTTGCTGTCACAGACTGAAGTGACTGCCGGGGGGGGGGGGGCGGGGCGGGGGCGGAGGAGGGGGG